ATAAATCACGGTTTTTAAAAAAAAAAAAAAAAAAAAAAAAAGATAAAATTTTATCTTTTCAAGACTCTGAAATATTGGCCAGGGATTTAGCTCAGTAGTGCTGCCACCTACCTCACAAGTGCAAGGACCCGAGTTGGATCACTGGTACAAAAAAAAAAAAAGATACTGAAGTATTTACAGATGAAATTATCCAATAATTGGGGTTTGCATCGCAATAACACTGTAGGGGGGTTGATGGATAGAGATACAAATAGAGCAAGATTGACCAGGAGCTGATTATTGTTAAAGCTGGTAATGGACACGTGGGGGTGGATTTTATATTATTTATTTCTCTTTCTATGTTAGAAATTTTCCATTTAAAAAAATGAAGGGAGGTAGTCTCAGCCTTCTGTGCAGCCTTCACTGCCAATGGCTGTTGCCCGAAACCCCTTGAACGTCATCTCCACTGCAGTAAGCACACTCCTTTCTCCCTTCCTCCCTTCATTCCTCCACTTGCTCTTCCACCCACCCACCCCACTGACGCTTTCCCACAGTGAGGCACTGACTGCGCAAGGACCCAGGCCCAATGAGTTAGAAATTCCATTGCATTTCCTGCTGTCATTTTGACCCCATATTTGGGGACAAGGGGAAAGGACAAAAAGTAACTGCTAATCAAAATATAGGACAAAACTAAAAAGACAGAGGGTCCTCGTAGCATGCTGACCTCTTCCCAACATCACCGTGCAAACGTGGAAGGAGGTGATGAGGTGACGGGGTATCCGTGGGCAGAGCGCCCGCCACGAAGCTTTCTTCCACTCAGAGCCTGTGCTCTCCCTTCTGTAAAGCAAGCACTGTCTTCAGTACATATGGAAACCTGGAGAACATGCACCACACACAGATTTCTGTCATCTGTGAAGTCGTCTATTCAGTTACTAGAAGGGATATTACCAGAAAGCAGTGGAGGTCACCTGGAGGAGGCAGGTGATACTGGGCCTGTGTCACCGCAGTCCCCAGCCCTGGATACTCAGCCCCAGTGTTTGTCCTCCCTTCACCCCAGCCTCCTTGGCCTTTGCTCTCAGGGACCTCTTAGCTGTTGCTTTCACTCCAGCCTCACAAATCACACCTCCTGGGGAAACCCAACAATTCCTCAAACTAGAGGCTTTGGAAACCCCAAAAGCCAAATCATCTGTGCTGTGAATTCCATTCTTAACAAAATATAACAGCACCCATCAGCCCCTTCCAACAGGGAGAATTATGTGCAGCATTCTTTTTCATTTTGCACCGTGCCTTATCTAAATGTCCTCCAATAATCATGGATTACACTGGTCATAGGGAAAATAAATATTATTTAAGGATTGCTTAAGGGGACGGGGGCTGGGTGTTGCTCAGTGGTTGTACAATTGCCTAGCATGTGTGAGGCCCTGGGTTCCATTCCCAGCACCACACCAAAAAAAAACATTTAGTAATAATCATCACCCATCTTTCCTCTCCTGCCTCTTCCTCCACCCCTGTCCCACGCAGTGAGGCTGTGCCCTGCTTCCACTCCCCTCTTCCGTCCCCTACTTACTGCCCTCAGTGCTGTCACCCCTTCCCCTCCTCACAGGTGGGAAGTCAGGGCTGTGGCATTCTCAGTCCATCTAAGCAGGGAAGCTAAGCCATATCAAAATAAATAGAAGCATATTCACATTCATCACACATCTCAGATGCGGCACCCTTGGGATTTCAAAGAACCCTTCACAGACTCGCCTCCAGTCCCACAGCAGCCCCTCGAGGTAGGTCAGTTCCACTCCCCACTGTGTGCCAGAGCCATGGAGAATTTGGCACACAGGGCACAGCACAGGAGTCCACAGTGGCCATTCTTCCTTTTCATGTGCGCGACCCACAGCCCAGAGGGACAGCAGCACCCAGTGACACACACCAGAAGTGAAAGGTCGGAAAAAAGGAGGCCCCAGGATGCAGGCAGAAAAAGGGCAGGGCTGGCTGGTGGAGCCTGGCTATTTCTGACTTGCCCTAGTTAGGGGCTGCTTTCCCGGGATCCGTGCATAACCACACGGTCACCTGGCGTTTGACAGTGTGACATTCATAGACTGATGCCAGAAATAACCTTCATTCTTCTGTACTTTTGGAGCCTTGAAGAAAAGGTGAGATGAAGCTTTGACAGAGGCTGTAGATGTAGCCATCTTGGCACAGGGCTGCCACCGGTCCCCAGGAAGTTACAGCTGCAGCTTGGGGCAGGGAATAGGCTGGAAGACGGTTTCAACATTTTCCATCAGAACAAGGTCATAGCGGCACAACTGTGGCCTGGGGAAACAAGACAGAATAGCCTCATCCATGGGGCAGCAGAAACGCCATGTGCTGCTCAAGCAAAACTGCGTTATATCCGTAGGCTCCAGGGTTATGTGGCAGTTGTTTCGAACAGTGTGGTAAGGAAAAAGCCAGCAACAAGAGGACAGGATGTCAGTTGTTACCACGCAATTTCACCTAGGCCTAAGAACAATACAAGAAAGATTAAAAAGTAGCCAAAAATTTTAAATACAGCCTAGCTACATAATGAGACCCTTTTTCAAAAAAAAAACAGAAACAAGAAATCCAAGAAAATTATACCATTATGTGCTTAAAGGGCCAGCAGATGAGCTGATTTGTTATAGCCTCAGAGTTGCATAATTCTTCTAACCACCTGTGCTCTTTGCAAGCTGATAATTTGTTGTAGAAAAGAAAGTTTTGGGCCAGGGCTTTAGCCCAGTGGTTTTACTGCCTTCCTTGAAAGTACAAGGACCCAAGTTCAATCCCTGGTACCAAAAAAAAAAAAACAAAAGAAAAAGAAAACTATCATTTGGCAAGCTGATAAAGCAGAGGCTAAAGTCTAAAAGATTAAAGAAAAATTGGATTTTATTGGTAGTGTAAGATAATTATTACAGCAATGTTAAATTTGGCTGAATTTGTTGAATTTGACAACTGCTCTAAATACACTATAAGTCATATTTTTCTCTATCAGTTTCTATACTTCCCAAAGTTGTATGAAGTTACCATGTGTTCCTTTGAAAATCAGGAGGAAAAAACTATTTTAAAGTTCCAAGGTGTTTTTGTTGTTGTTCATTTGTTTATTTGATTTGTTTTTTTTTTTTTTTTTTGGTTTTGGTTTTGGTTTTTTTGGTACCAAACTCAGGACCTTGTACTTGTGAAGAGAGTTGTTTTGTTTGAGACAGGGTTTCACTGTATTCCAGGCTGGCCTTGAACTCTACGTGCATAGCCCAGGCTGGTCTTGAACCTATGATCCTCCTGCCTCAGCCTCCTGGGTGCTGGGATTACAGGTGTGCATTGTGTCCAGAAATATTTAATATGGGTATCCTCTTAGAAGAGACTTTCATTATTTTTCAAAACTTTTTTTTTTTTTTTTTTGGTACCAGGATCAAACTCAGTTCCTTGCACTTTTGAGGCAGGTGGCAGAACCACTGAGCTAAATTCCTGGCCCTCAAAACTTGTATTATTAAGGAACTTTTATTGTTAAATATTTTAGAGTTCCCTTCAAGAAAAGTAAATTCATAGACCTAAAATCTACATCATTCTTTCTCCCTCCTTTCCTCTCTCCCTCCCCCATCGCAGATTAAATGCTAGGAAAAGTGACATTTATCACAACTTAAACACAGCTAAGTACTTTTTAAAATCTCTCCCTTCACACATACTTATATTTCTAAACCAGTTGACAAGTGGATAAAGATGTAGTTTTTATACAATGGAGCACTACTCTGCCATAAAGAAAGGTAAGCTGGAGACATTTCCAGCTAAATGGATGCAACTTGAGACCACACTCTTAAGTGAAATAAATCAGACACATGTTTAAATACCACATTGTTTCTCTGATATGAGAAACTGAAAGTGGAAATAAGGACCAAAATATATAATAGATATTGGGAATTGGGAAGAAGAAAATGTTCAGTTGAGAAGGGGAACAAAGGAGGGAAGAAGGGAAAGGAAAGACAGGACAAGAAAAAAAAGGAAAAAATGGAAACAGTTTCTGTGGGTGAGAAGAGGGGTTGAAGAGGGAGGAATGGGAAAAAGCAGAAGATATATCATGTACGTACACATTCCCTGCCATGAATGTTATGTGTATCAAATGTACCAGTAAATAGTTTATAAAAAGAAAAATAAGTTGTTTACACCTTCATACATCAGCGAGTATTTCCTAAGAACAAAAACATTCTCAGCCAGGCGAGGTGGCATAGGCCTGTAGTCCCAGCACTCTTGGGCCTGAGGCAAGAGGAGTACCTCGAGTTCAAGGCCAGCCTGGGCTACAGAGTAAGACCCTGTCTCAAAAAAAAAAAAAAATTCTCAGAACAATTTTCAAATTCAGCCAGATTTAATATTGCTGTAATAATTGTCTTACGTTGCCAATAAAAAATCCAATTTTGAGCCGGCTGTGGTGGCACACGCCTGTAATCCCAGCACTCGGGAGGCTGAGGCAGGAGGATCGCTGTGAGTTCCAGACCACCATGGGCTACATAGTGAGTTCCAGGGCAGTCTAAACTATATAGTGAGACCCTGTCTCAAAAAACAAAAAACAAAACAAAACAAAAAATCCAATTTTTCTTTAACCTTTTTAAACATTAGCCTCTACTTTATCAGTTTGCCAAATGATACAAAGCTTTCTTTTCCTATAAAAAACTATCAGTTTGCAAACAGCATGGGTGGTTAGAGAGGAATGTATCTCTGAGGCTATAACAAATTAATTCCTCACCTGCTGGTCCTTTCTTTTTAAGCGCATACTGATATAATTTTCTTGGATTACAGGGCTACTTGTTTTTGTTTTCTATTGTATTTGTTTGTTGGGGTTTTTTGTTTTGTTTTGTTTTGAGAAAGGGTCTCACTGTGTAGCTAGGCTGGATTTAAACTTAACTGTGTAGCCCAGGCTGGCCTTGAACTTACAGCGATCCTCCTGCCTCAGCCTCCTGAGTGCTGAGATTACGGGTATGTGCCAGTCCAGAAACAAGACTATCTTTGGAAAACCCTTCACCTCCCTCATTGAATGGCCAAGCAAATTCTCCAGGACTCCTCTGCCACCCCCTGCCTCTGCTCACCTGTCTGGATGGGCAAGGGACCTCAGCTTCATGCGGACAACCCTGAGCTTGTACTTGGGGCCAAGCACAGATCCTGTGGAGAACACCAAGGAAATCGCTGTCACTTCTCGCAGATCTTGATCAAATCTTGCCAGCAGACTCACTTGGTGGTACTTCTGAAATGTAGCCGGTTCACTAGGAAGCAGTGACATGGTGAGGTGAGTACAGAGAGCCCAGGAGGGAAAGCAGTTTTGAGGCCTGCGAGTTACCCAGAAGCAGGCGATCGCTTGACCCCACCACTGCACTGGCTGGCTCTCAAAAGCAGCCTGCTGATTTCCAAAGGTGCTGAACATGAGGCCTTACTGTTCCCAGGGGTCTGCTCGTCCCTGGACACAGCTGCCCAGTGCCCCACCATTCCAAGCAGTGGTCACTACTTTCCTGTTGTGCACACAGAGCAGCTACAGAGTTTAAACTCCCAGGATGAGGATTACATGTGGTGCTGTGGGGATCCAAGCCCAGACTGAGTTCAGAGTCACAGTCTTTCCTTTAAACTGAATTTCTAGAGCCATATGGATATTTCTAGCCAAACTCTAGCCAAAGAGCTGAATTTCGGTTCTAATAACTTTTCCAAGTGTGTAGAGATGTTTCCTACAATCCTAAACCCATGAGCCTAAGGTACACAGAGTCTCCTGGAGAGGTTCAGCAGGACTTGTCCCTGTGGAGAACTGGGAGAGGAGGCCACAGAGAACTGAAGAGCCCCTGGGTTCAGGAACGATAGGCCTGGAGTACTAATGTGCCATAAAGGAGTATGAATTTGAGTCATTTCTAAGAAAACTGGTACACATTGAGACCACAATGGTAAGTTAAAACACACACACATACACAAGCGTAAATATCACATGGTTTCTCATATGAAGAACCCAAAGTATAAGTAAATTAGTAAAATAAAAGATAAGAGGAAACAAAGAGATCTTTTGCAAAGGGGAAGGGGACCAGGAGATGGAGGGCAGGGGAGGGAAAAGAAGGGAGGCAGATGAAAAAACAATGAATATGTGTCATGTACATTACCAGCTCCACACAACAAATATAACCATGTACATACTGCAAACGTGAGCTCAAATTTTTTTTAAAAAAATAGCTTGCTCCATACAGGATCCTGAATTTTGGGGTGAGGCAGATGTGAATAGGTGTCTCACCCCAGCCCTCCATCCTGTCAGGTCCTGTGGAAAGCAGAAGTGCCACAAATAAAAATCTGAAAAAGACCAAGGATTTGGTTTTTAAATACACCTCCACTGAAATGAGCCAGGGATCCCTGCAGACTTGGTTGATTCTAGGCCTGGGACAGGAAACTGCAAAGTGATCCTAGAACAGCCTGTGTACCAGACTGGAAGGAAGTGTCCAGAGAATGACAGAAATGTCCCAGCGACACAGAAGCACCTGCACCCATTCGTGTGGCTGCGTTGGTGAGGATGCAAGAGTCTGGATCCTTTGGAGAAGTCCTGTTCAGACTGAGAGCATGGCTCCATGGTGAAGCACTTGCCTAGGGTGCAGGCTTACCATGAACAAGGCCCTGGGTTCAAGTCCAGAACCAAAAGGAAAAGAAGTCACCTCTAAGCCATCCACAGACACTGTTCTTTATCCTCAGGGAGCCCCCGATGTGATTACGTTTCAGATGCCACCCTATCATTCTTCTATAGATGTAACCTACACAAAACCTCATGTCTAGAAGCCAGCCAAACCCAGAAAACATTTCCAAGAAAAGGAACAAAATGAATCTCAAATTCTTTTGCTTCAAAGGTTCCCTCACCCCTTTACTTGGTTATAGAAGTGATAGATGAAAACAGTATTTTTGTTTTTGTTTTTGAGACAGGGTCTTGCTTTGTAATTCACCTGGCTTTGAACTTGCTACATAGCCCAGACTGGCCTCTAACTCACACCAATCCTTGTACCTTAGCCTCCCGAGTGCTGGGATTACAGGTGTGCACCACCATGCCCAGCTCTAATTACTTTACAATTTAAAACACACATAGCCATAACAGAAGATTGAAAACTAAAAAGAAGCTTAAAAAATAAAAGCTTTCCTATTCCCATTATCCAAATGGCAATTTAACATTTTGGCATGTTTCTTTCATTTTCTTACACTCTGAGCTAATTTCGTACTTCTTAGGGCCTGTATCTAGATGTTCCCCTAAAGCCTCATGTGCTCATAAGTGGAGCTTTGGGGAGATGGTTGAATTACATGTGTGTGATGCTGGACTAGGGTGTGTGGTACTGGGATTAAGAGTGTGTGATAACTGTGTGGCATAGTTCTAGGTGTGGGTGATGGAAGGCCCTGCCTGGTTGTGCGTGGCACCAATCAATAGGCTTGTAACCTGGATGGAACATAAAGGGACAGAAGGAGGGAAGGCTGCTGCTTTGCTGCTTGCTGCTTCCTGTCTGCCCTGCCATGGACTGTTTCTGCTCTGTGATGCCCCTCTGCCTTGCTACCCTGCCTTAGAACCAGACAATTATGAACTGAGAAACCTCTATAGACTATGAGTCAAGATAAACCTTTTCTCCTTTAACTCTCAGTGTCAGGTATTTTGTCTCAGAAACAAGAAAATAAGACAATGTTTTATATAATTTGCTATTCTACATTTCAGTTGCATATTATAAGCTTGCCTTTGATATGTATCATAAAAATTTCAATGTATGAATAATATTCTATTACATGAAAATATTTAAGTGAACAAGAGCCAGGGATTTAGCTCAGTGGTGCTAACACCTGCCTTGCAAGCGCAAGGTCCTCAGTTCAATCCCCAATACCAAAAAAAAGTAAGATCATATTTAAATGAACTGCTTTCTGCTGTTGGATTTTGGGATATATTCCCCCTCCCTTTTGTTTTTTGGCAATGCTCAGGATTGAAACCATGGCCTTTTCTCTGAGCTGCATCCCAGCCCTTTTATTTTTTACTTTGAGACATGGTCTTGCTTGTCACTGAGTTGCCCAGGCTGAGCTTGAGATCTTCGTGCCTGTTGTGGTTTAGATCTAGAATGTCTCCCAAAACTCTCAAGCGCTCAGAGACAGGACTTTCAGGAGGTGACTGGATCATGGAGTGTTGTGTTCTTCAATGAGTTCATCCATTAATGAGTTCAGCAGCTGAGCGTGTGATTAGGAGGCGAGTCCCAGTTAGAAGCAGGTTACTGGGGATGTGACCTGAAAAGTCCCTCGCCGCCTTCTCTTCCTCTCCCTCCCCCTCCTCCCCTCCCTCTCCTCCTCTCTCCCTCCTCCTCCCCACCCCTCTGTCTTTCTCCTTGCTGATCATGTTCATGTGACCCTCTTCCCTTTATGAATACATAAATAAAAAGTACAGGATTTAATTTCTCCAAGCAAAAAGAGAAAGTAGGGACTGGGGATTTAGCTCAGTGGTTCTGCTGCCTGCCTTGCAAGCACAAGGTCCCGAGTTCGATCCCCAGTTCCAAAAAAAAAAAAAAAAAGAAAAAGAGAGCGAGAAAGTAAATTATAAGCTATTGCAGCTAAACTTACTGATCAATTATAGATTCTGTGGTGTTTCCATCTTTGTCTCTCAACTTGATTGTGATGGATCCTCTTCTTACGTTCTTGTTCCAAGATATAATGTCCACAAAGTAGTGATATACTGCCAAACAAGGAGAGATTGTTAAAGAGGCAACCCCCGCAGTGACTTCCCTGGAGGAGCAGTTTCCAAAAACCCAACATCCATAATCACTGAGTCTCCTTTGTTCTTCCTCTGGAGTTGCCCTGAAAAAGATCCACAGCAGCCTATCCTATCATTCCTTTCTCTCCCCTCTGCACCAATGACATACAAAACAGCAGAGCTCTGTGGTATCTGGGTGCCATCAGGAATGATGGGTTCCCACATTATGGACTGAAGTCTCACAGCCTACTGCTGAGTAGGACTGGCTCACTCCAACTCCTGCCCACCTTACAATAAAACAACCAACTGGCCCTACGCAGTTGACAAGGCCTTCCATCATCCGGACCCTGGTGGCCACCTGGCCTCCCTCATTTCTTTCCAAGTCATGCCAACCACCTGCACTGCCAAGTGCTCTCTCTTACTCCCCGGCCTTCCTGCTTTGCAAAGCCATCCTTCAGGTTTCAGCTTAATATCATTTCCTCCAAGAAATATCTTGTTCTTCCCTGGTCCTGAGATTCAGTCAGGCCTCCTTTCTTGGAGTCCCAGTCCTGCTCTGTGTTCCCCCGTGTTACTCAGCACCTGAACTGTACTTATGAATTGCAAGAGGTGCTAAGTACAGTGTAAATATCTGAGCACATCTGCAGAAATATCTGAATAAATGGATTTTTAAAAGCTAAAAGCATACCACAAGGGATGTAATCCCAGCAGCCACACCCATGTAGGCACCTAATAAATTACTGCTGAATAAATGACATAGGACGTGCTCAAAGAACTATTTTCCTCCTTACTATTTGCTCCCCGAGGTCAAATGTATTTTGGGAAGATGGGAGTCCCCTGGTGATAGTCTGATTTACTATTTCTTGGTCAGACTTGCAAGGGAATAGAAAAAGGCTCAGAGATATGATGTTCCCACAAAGGAACAAGTCTGGAGTTACCAGTTCCTGGCTCATTTTTGCTCAGTGGCTTGTCCCTCACAGACCGGGGAGATGCCAAATCCTGGGCTGCCAGGTATGGCTCCAAAGGAAGAAGGAAATCCAGATATCTGCCACCTTTTAAAAAACAGCTGCTCCCAAGAAAAGTGAAAAGGGGATGCAAGGTAGCAAGAAGAAATACATTTCCCTGGGTGAATCTTAACTGTGTCCGAGGACATGTAATCATTCGCTGCTCCCATCTCAAATTAATTAGCTCCCATCTCAAATGTTCCACCTCTTGATGTCTTTAGGTGATCATGATTGCTACACAGCTGGAACTGACCATGAGATGTGCCTGCCGCCTGAATTTTTTTTGCCTCCCTTTGGCCCTGGGGTTCAAACTCAGGACCTTGCGCTTGTGAGGCAGGCAGCGGCACCACTGAGCTCAATCCCTGGCCCACCTGAATTTTCCTGGCCCCGATTTCCTGTCTCTTGAGGAATCAAGCAATTTCTCAGGGATTACAGTGACCATTCAGTGATGCCCACAGTTCTGATTCACTGAAATTTTAATTCTAATAACCCAAAAGATAGGCATTGTTATCTCTGTTTTACCACTCAGGACTCTGACACTCAGTACTCAAATGACTTGACCAAAGTCACACAGCTATTCTGTGACAGAATCAGGATCCGGCCTAACCCCTTTCCAGCTCTGAACTCCAAGCTTTGCTGTTGCCTTCACCTGCCAAGAAGCAGCCAGGAAGCTGAGACTCAGCTATGCCCAGAAAAAGAGCATCAGATAAAAACAACCAACTACAGTCACCACTCACTGCAGAATGGATTCTGCTCAGCTGTGTCAAAGAATGCCTTTGTCGTTGGAAGAGCCTCCTCCCTTAAATAGCCTTTCCAGTGGTCAGCATAATAACCTATAAAACAAGTTGCAAAAGTACGTCATTAACATGTCCAACATAATAATGAAAGCAACCAAGGCAGTGAGAAAACTACACTCACAACCACTGAGGAGTGGACCTCTTCCCACCATCACCTCCCATGGTGAGGGCCTGTGGGTCCCCAGGCAGCCCATCCTGTTAGCTGTCCCCAACCCTAAGAGCTGGGGTTCAAAAGGACCCAGAGTGGCTTTTTCTCCTTTATTTACTCTCAGTAACACAGTAGTGAATGGTACAAACTGATAGGGACCAAAAATAGCAGTTGTTTTTTTTTTTTTTTTGGTAATACAGTCATTTTCTACATTAAAACAGATTTATCTCTAAAATTTCATCACTGTTGCAAAACAACATACTTTTTGCTGGGGGTAGTACTGGGGATCAAACCCAGGATCTTGTGCCTAAGCACGTGTTCTACCACAGAGCTCCACCCCAGCCCCTGTGCATTCTTAAAAAGCCACAGTTAGCTCACAACATTGTACAGAATGTGGCCTTGCCATGTAACAATGTCACCAAGCAGGTGATGTCTCCCTTCTCCTTGCGGGAGTCAAAGCTGAGTGCTGTCCAGTGGCCTTTTCCCCTCCTCTTGACTTCCTCAACCTGGAAAGGATCGGGCATGGGTATTTTTTAAGAATCTCCTGGCTGATTCCAACGCACAATCAAGGTTGTGCTTGTCTGTAGCCTGCCCTCCTGTTGTCTTGCATTTTTTTTCTTCTGGAAAGGAAAATGAGAAAATTCCCATGGCCATCCAGTTTCAAAGTCCTGACTGCCTAGAATATTCCCCCTAACGCTAGCAAACATTCAGGCTTATCCACAGTGTCTCCTCCCCCACCCTAGCAAACATTCAGGCATCCACAGTGTCTCCTCCCCCACCCTTGCCCAGGGGTGCCACAGTGCACTGTGGGGGCATCTGCAGAATGACTTGTTGGGAAGGGGTTGCTCAGAAGAGTCCCTAGCTCTGTGGGCCTCCCCCAGCAGAGACTTCGTGTGCACAGGACCAGGCTGTGTGAAGTGCTTGCACCCTGGGGTGGCTTGGGAGTGCTCAGGGAACCCCCTTTGCATGATAGAATGGGTGTTCTGGGAGGTAAGCTCTGGATAAGCACATTGCTCTTGTAACACTATTACAGGAGACCAGAATGATTCAAAGGACACATCAGCTACAGAAAGCTGACTAGATACAGTTTTGTTTTTTGCAGGGGGAGCATAGATACTAAAATGGTTCTGGGGCTTGTATCAAAGATAAGCTCTTAATTCATCAGAGAGGAACACTGCTGGTTGGACATACCCACACGGGGACAGGGCTCCGTCTGTGCTGTGCCACAGCTGAGGCACTTGCCATTCCTGTAATCGCGGTAGGAGTCGCAGGGATATGCGGTGACAGCGCAGCCTTCTCTCAGGGAAGCCAAGTACAGGTGCACAGACCTCTGGTGGTCACACTTGAAATAGTTCTGCAGTCCTTGGTTGTAAAGGGGAGGAAGCCAGTATAGAGCATTAAAGCAATTAATAGAAGGGTGCTGCACATTTTATACACACAATCTATGTCTCTTGTACGCCTGGCACCACGCTAAAAGCTTCAGTGTGCTTGTGTCTGTTTAATCCTTACAAAAACACATAAAGATCAATGCTGGCAAGTAGCAGGAGAAGAGACTAAACCCAATTAGGTTATGGCAGGAATAAAACATATCAAATATATTTTAATTAAAGACCTGGGGAATCCAGGCACACAGGTGCATGCCTGCAATCCCATCTACCTGGGAGGCTGAGACGGCAGGATCAGGAGTTCCAGGCCAGCTGGTGCAACTTAGCAAGACCCTGTCTCAAAACAGATGAAAAGGGCTGGGAGTGTGGCTCAGTGACAGAGCGTGTGCCCAGCATGCACAGAGCCTCTGGTTATATTCAGCACCACCCAGAAAAAAGCCTGATTATTTGTAACACTTGAGGTGTCTTTCATTGTCATCCAATGTTTCAGCCAGCTATCACGCTTATTAAAATACAGAGTTCATGGCCAATCTCAACTATTTCTAACTCAGAGGAGGCTCAGGAATTAGCATTTTAACAAACCTTGCTGCCTGCCCTCCCCCATCTGATCTGGAGCATGTAAGTCTGAGAGCCCCTGGTCTAACTGCAAGGCTCCTTCACAGACTTATTACTGTACATACTGTGTCTGCTTCGGAGGCATGCGGCCACCTGCAGTGGTGCTGTTTCTGAACAGGTGGTGGTCTGGGAGACCCTGCTCTGAGGATGTGGGGTGCTCATGGTCTGGGTGTCAATGAGCCTTCTGAGTGGTTCTGATGTAGGCTAAAGATGGAGAACCATAGCTGTGCTGCAGAAGGTGGGAGTGTGTAGAGGGTTTGGGATGAGTCATGGCATACAGACTTGAATCTTAATCAGGCCAGTTTAGCTGGGGGCTGGGGCTCACACTTGTAATTCTAGCTAGTTGGACAGTAGGCTGAGGCAGGAGGATGGCAACTTCCAGGCCAGCCTGAGCAATTTAGTAAGACTTTGTTTCAAAATTTAAAAAAAAATTTTTTTAAAGAACTGGTGATGTGGCTCAGAGGTACAATGCACACTTAACATGTGTGAGCTTCTGGATTCAATGCCAGGGGCTGAGATGAGGGCACCAGAAAAAGAAGGCATTGGGAGTCAGTGGTGGAGGTAGATCTCCAAGGAGGACAAGAAGAGGAGATGGTTTGGAAAGGGAAGAGGAATGCCTCTACCCTGGGTCAGGAGAAATGTGAATGTAAACACTGACCTCATGAACTCAGATAAAGATAGACAAAGTGGCTTTCCTGGTTGGGACAAAGTTCAAATGTAGCTCACCTGTAGGAGGCCAATGGGAGATGTGTGAGTAGGAGAGCCTGTCATTAAGGCCTCCAAGCTTGCCTGGACGTTGAACTCACTCAACATGGCTTCAGGACTTCTCCTGCAGTGTCCCAATCAAAGACCATGGCAGAGACCACAGGGGCTGGGGCTGCACAGGGCACCTGTGATACAACCATGTGGTGGGGTTCCCTTTCTGCTACAAGGGTGAAGGACAGCAGGTGGCACTTAACCATGAACCAATAAGAAAAGAGGAGGGGCTTCCATGTGCTGTGATGAGACACAAGACTAAGGACATATGGACACTGAGTCAGAAGAGCTGGAGATGAGGGTGAACTGCTGATGTCATTCAAAAAAGGGAACCAAGTCCCAGGTGGGCTAAAATCTGAATAGGAAACAGTAAAGCCCATGGAGAGAAGAGGTGCAGTTGTTAGTAAAGGGTTTGGAGGCTGGAATCAGAGCAAGGTTTCCTCATCCCCCAGCATCCACTCATGCCCACAGAAGTGACCAGTGAAGGACAAGAAACAACTAAGGCAATAAGGTAGATCCTGGGGCTAGAATCAAACCCAACAGGCCAACACTTGTTCATTCCTCATTCCTGGAACTACCTTTTTCAGGAGCAGTGAGTTAATACCAATACAAGGGTGTCCTTTCCAATCAAAGGGCACTCTCTGTGGCTGTTATGGACATAGTTACAAGTCACACTCGCTGTGATACATGGCTCATGCTACTTACACAGTTTCCATCAGGTCATTTTCAAACACTGTCATTCCAACGGGGCCATATATAGTTCCCATTTTGTACCACAATCATCATCTTTTTCTAGAATTAATTATTTCCAGTTGTTTGTTTTTGAGACAAGTTCTTACTGTGTAGTTCAGCCTGTCCTTGAACTCACTAGGTGTACTGGGCTGGGCTCGAACTCACAGCAATCCTCCTGCCTCAGCCTCTCTAGTGCTGGGATTACAGGTGTGTACCAGCACCCCCAACAAGTTGTTTGACTTTTTCCAGCAGTGGTGAAAACAGATCTATGGAACTGACAGTAGGATTTTTATATTCTGCCCAAACATAACACTTTTATATTGCCCTCCAATTCCCCATTTTTGTTTTGTAGTTTCTTTCTCATTGTAAAAGCAATATATGCTCATGTGGAATCATAAATTAATAGAAAGTGATGCAAAAAGTACCTAAAAGTTCAATATCAAAATTACCAATGATAATTATTTGGAGTACTCTTAGCTTAGTTTTCTACTTATACCTACACTTAATGCAAACATGTATTTGAAGTGAAAAACAGATAAAATGGGGGCTGGGTGTGTAGCTCACTGATAGAGCATTTTTTATAGCTCACTGATAAGAGTATTTGTCTAGCATGTGCCAGGTCCTAGGTCTGCTCCCCAGCACCGAGAGAGCGAGAGAGAGACAGGGCCGGGGATTTAGCTCAGCGGTTCAGTGGCCTGCCTTGCAAGTGCAAGGACCCAAGTTTGATCCCCGGTACCAAAAAAAAAAAAAGAGAGAGAGAGACAAACTGAGACAGCCATTGAGATCCTGTTGGGTGGTTTTAGGTTTTGTCACTTAATGCCATAAGGATGTTCATTAATTTCTGAAAATATTATTTTAACAATCATATTCCTTGTGTGGGTGAACCATAATTCATTTAATAATTTCCCTATGTTGGACATTTAAATTAATTCTAAAACATAAATAATGCCATGTTGAACATCTTTGCACTCTAATTTCTTATGTACACTTCCCAATTATATCTCTATGACATCTTCAGTTATGGAATTTTAGGTTAAAGACATATATTTCCAAGAGATAGAAATAAAAACTAATGCAGAATAGCTTTTAATCATATATTTATAACTTTTTTTTTTGTACCGGAGATCGAACTCAGGACCTTGCGCTTGTAAGGCAGGCATGGTGCCACTGAGCTACATCCTGGGCCCTGATAAATTTTAAAAGTAATATGTCTGAGATACAATTTTTTTTTTTTGAGACAGGGTCTCACTATGTAGTTGAGGCTGACCTGGAACTCACTATGTAGCCCAGGCTGGTCTCAAACTCACAGTGATCCTCTGCCTCAGCCTCCCAAGTGCTGGGATTACAGGCGTGCGCCACCACACCTGGCTTACAATTTTTAATTTATACCACCTCTACCTTCTTAGGAAATTTGTTTTCTGTCAAAAAAAAACCCTGCTTTATGTAGAATAATGTTTTTAAACTACATTATTTTACAAAATACAAAGTATCTTCACTCACCTCCAAATATTGTTTTGGGACAGCCAGGTTGATCTAATCCTCCATTTGGGTAGAAATCTATGTTTCCCAGTGGTCCTTCATATCCCAGTGCTAAAATAAAACATATTATGTTTTCATACAGCTTTGAATTTTTCACACTCCATAGCTCATCTGCCTGCAGGACAGGGGCAGAAACTGTGTAATTTACTACTATCGTTGTTGTTGTTATCATTATTTTTAACCCATTTAAATATTTTTCCCTAAGGCACCCAGCTAGTTAGAAAGCAGGGTATGAATTCTATCACCATCTGCTATAGTTTGAATCCTGAATGTCACCCACAGGGCTAATGTTAAAGGCCAGGTCGCAGAGTGGTGCTATGAGAGGGGATGGAAACATTACAGGGAGGTCCTTAGGTCCCTGGGGGTTGCTGTCTGCTGTCTCAGGGGACCCCATCTCTCCTCTTTGTCTTCAAGTCCTGGCCCTAACGTGAGCAGTTTTGCTCCTCCACACATTCCTACCACTATACGCTCCCTTAGCCCAGCTCCACTCAGCATGGACTAGATCCTCCAAAGCTCTGAGCCAAAATCAACCTCTTTATAAGTTGATTATATCAGGTATTTGTTATAGTAACAGAAAGCTGTTCCATTTCTAGGTGACTGGGAAAATGGTGATAAAATTTAATTAGTCACTACAAGCTACTAAAAATGATACATTTATTTCTTCTTTACATTTTCCTGGAGCTCTGTAATTGCCAGGTGCTCCCGAGCCTCTATTTGAATTTGTATAAATCTTTAATGAATAACATGAAAAAACAAATTTTTCTTAGTGGGTGAACTATGTAAGTATTTTTAGAGTCCAGGATATTTTTAAAAAATGAGAAACACTTGCACAAAATATTCCTAAAAATGTATTTCTTAGTTTCCAACAAATTATAGGGCTAGGGCTAGGGATTTAGCTCAGTGGTTCTGGCGCCTGCCTTGTAAGCACAAGGACCCAAGTTTGATCCCCAGTACCAAAAAAAAAAAAAAATAAAAAAAAAAAAAAAAAAAAAAAAAAAAAAAAAAATTATAGGACTAGAGCCAGGGATTTAGCTCAGTGGTTCCACTACCTGCCTTGCAAGCACAAGATCTGAAGTTCAATCCCCAGTACAAAAAAATTACAGGGCCAAGGGTATGGCTGAGTGGTTGTCTAGCAGGACTGAGGCCCTGGATTTGATCCCAGCACCACCAAAAACAGTCCAGGTAATACCTGAGGAGAACTAAACATTATTTTGGTGGGCTGAGGGCTTAGCTCAGTGGTAAAGCACTTGCCTAGCACTTGAGGCCCTGGGTTTCATCCCAACACTGCAAAAAAACAAACACACATAGTATCAGAGATTTAGTATCTAGGCATGGTGGCCCATGCCTGTAGTCACAGGAACTTGGGAGATTGAGGTGGAGAAATTACTTGAGCCTTAGTGTTTGAGATAGTGAGAATCCATCTCAAGGGGAAAAAATTATAGCCAGATTTAATAACTGCTTATTTTCTTTTGCCACGTAACCCCCAAAATAGTAAAATTCTTGAGTAAAACACTCCTGAAATATATGTACGCACATATGCAAAAGTGGTGATAGTAGTTACTGTACGCTGAGATCCTACATGCGTCTGTGGGTGTGTTACTAGGTGTCTTATACCTTTCTTCTGATTCTTACAATGCCTGCAAAGTAGCCCCTGGTAAACACAGATGAAAATATGAAGGCTCAGAAACTTAAGGAACTAATGCGCTATCACCGAAGAATAGAACAGAATCTGGGGCCTGATTTCACATCAGCTTGGCCACAGAGCTTATACTCTTTCCTTCAAAATTCACCATGTATTGCAAGTGAAAGGTGAATGAAATGTAATCCCTTGATTCCAATAAGCATTCAAAAATAAGTAAGGTTATACTTGGCAAACTCCGCAGTAGGAAGGCAGCTGTTAAACTAAGATGCATTTCTTTTCAGGCAAACAACTGCTGAATACCACATGAAGGTGCCCGCGACAGAGTAAGAGTGTTGCTGTTTTGTTGTGATGTGTTACCGTTAAACCCAGGGCCCTGCATATGCGTGCTAAGCACTGAGCTGCTCCCTGTCCTGGGCTGAGGGTATTTCAGGTGGTCGTATCTTGAAGAGGGCGTACAGTTATTGACCACTCTACTTTATCCCCTGTCCTCGTCAAGTTCCCACTCTGGCTCTTCTCCCAGACACCTGGCTGTGGCAGACACCCACCCTTGACCATCACTCCAGCCCACATGGCGCATACAGGATCCCAGATGTGAAATCAGTCTCACAGAGACAAGGGCCTGGAAAGGCATAGCCGGGAGGGAGCTAAGGAAGGCTGGAGTCACTCCATGGGGACAAAAGGACACCTCAGCTTATCTCTGCCAGAGGAAATCATGAGAACCAGAAAAGCACTCCACAAACCCAGCTGCACATATGGAAATCTGTCCACGCAGTGTGCAGACCTGCCTGCCTTGATTGGGCGAGGTGACGACTACAAATAAGAAGGGACATGGGGAAATCAGCCCCTCGCAGCGCACCATCCCGGGGGCCTGCATGACACCAGCTTCCCTCCAGGTATCTGTGGGTTTGGAACCCGGCCCGTGGGAGAGAGGGCCTCTGGAGGAACCTGCTCTGTCCCCACGTGACGATTCCCGCCCCCCAGGAGCCTGGGAGTGTTACCGTCGGTGTCGGAGTGGATGACGTCCACGAACAGGGCGTCACTGGGATCCAACCTGTCCTCTGAAGGTCTCCCGTTGAAGGAAGGGCCCGCAGGGTCAAGACCTGGAAGGAAAGCAGCGTGGTTTGGCAGCCCCGCGCCATGAGTCACCCCGCCGCGCCTTTGATCCCTCCGGTGAGGACACTCCCAGGCCCCCGGGGGGGCGCGCACCCCATTCCGTCCTGCTCCTTCGGGCTCCTTTCCACAGCCTGCAGCTCTTTCCCACAGTGCAGACGCTACCCTGGCAGTGGCCCTGAGAGCCACATCCCTGAGCAGGTGGCTGGCGGAGCTGGGCAATGCACACAGTGTGTGGGTCAGAGGACAGAATGGGCCGGTTCCTTAGGAAAGAAGCACCAAAGAGTACACACAAGAGGAAAGCCGGTACTATGTACTCGTTACCTCATTTTAGATGCTGTGTGTCCCACTCAGCCCTCCCTTCTTGCTATTAATAGAACTCCTTTACAGTTTCCACTGTCACTTATATCTTAGCTCATTCGATCTGCATTGCAAATATGTGGGCCAGAAGGGTAGTAACTGATTCCTATGTTACAGAGCGAAGAGCTGAGGTCCAGGGAAATCGAGCAGGTAGACCAGAAACCAGCCTCCTCTGTCTGCTGAGCTTTGGTTACCCTGCGTGGACTCCTGCAAGCTCAGCAGGGAAAGGCAGAACTCGTGGTCAGGCCGGGCCTTGTAAAGGCCATCATCCCCTGCAGATTGTTCGGGGCTTCTAACCCAGGGCCTGAGCTGTTTGTCCTTCATGAGAGCTGGGTGTATTCCTCACCATCACTGTGAAGCTGCCAGAAAAACAGGTGAGCAGCTCTTAAGATATTGGAACCACAAAATCAAACTTGAAGAAAAAAGTCAGAGGATTCAAAGGCCCAACTTACCAGAGCCCTATGTGGAGTGGAAAAGGTCTCTAGGGATGTCTCCCTCGAAGCTTTAATCTACGCATGCCATTTTATTATTTTATTATTGGTTTCGTGCTGGGGGTCAAATCTAGGACCTCACACATGCTAATTGCATGCGCTTCCACTGAGCTGCTCTTGCTGTCCCTGTGTCTTTTTAGATGCAGTCTCCCGCCCACCCTGCAGTGTTACATATAAAATCCAAAAGGTAGCATCTCTCCCTCAGCTTTCCTGCACCAGCTTCGATATTTCCGTTTCCGCTCTCCCAGTGTCCTTCGGCTTCCTTCAGACATTTGTTTATCTACTGGCCTCCCTTCCCTTATCGCCTTCTCTTTTCTCCCCTCGCCTCTCTTCCTTTTCTGTCCACTCCCAACTGAAACTCCTGTGGGAGGAGAGGAGCCAACGCCCAGGTGCCCACATACACAGTCTTCCTAATCCAACTGGAAAAGCTCCACGGCCTCGGGAAGATTTGGCCCAGCAGCTCATGTCAGATAGCACCACTTCCTGTCCAAGAAAACCAACCTTGAGGGCCACAGATAGCAACCTTCAGACACACGGGAGATAAAACATCTACCCCAGGGCAAGACACAAACCAGGACCATCACAGGCAAGCTTGGACTTGTGACATCCACAGTGATAAACAAAAAGATCAGCCAAAAATCATAGAAAACGCCCTAAACCCTGCACAGCCTGCGTGAGCACAGGGAGCCCCGAACCCAGCACTAAACAGCTGTGTGGCAGTAAACAGGTTGCTTTACTTCTGTGAACCTTAGTTTCTTTATATTGTAAAATGGAGGTAGAATTGAGAGCTACTTCAGAAGATTCATAAAAGCACTCCTGAATCGAAATCCAGAACATTCTATTGTTATTGTAGCAGAGAAAACGAATGGAAAAGCTCTTACTTTGCACTGATCATCAGAATAGTGTGTAGTCACTGACTGTGGCTTTTACTGCAGTACTGCCTGGTTGAGGGTTTGATGAAAGATCTGCACACCTCCCCAGGAAGCCATCCAACATTTTGTGTGCAACTTTAAGGGCCTCTTCTTCCTATCCCTACGGTCACCGGGTGCTCTCTAAGGCAGCACCGACCCATAGGCATTTAATGTGGGCCACGCTGACAATTTAAAATGTTCTAAAAAATGACAAGTTAATTTTAAGAATACTTTTTTGTGGTACTGGGGATTGAACCCAAGGCCGTTGCACTGAGCTATATCCCCAGCCCCACCACCACCACCTTTTTAATGTTTTATTTTGAAACAGGGTTTTGCTAAGTTACTAAATTGCCCAAGCTGAGCTCAAACTTGCAGTAGTGCTTTATCCTCTCAGAATGCTGAGCTTACAGATAGGCACCACCATACCTGGCAAGAACACATCTTCTATAACCCAGTGCTGTCTACCCAAATTATTAATTAATAAAGAAATGTCAAGCCGGGCGTGGTGGCGCACGCCTGTAATCCCAGCACTTGGGAGGCAGGAGGATCGCTGTGAGTTCAAGACCAGCCTGGGCTACATAGTGAGTTCCAGGTCCGTCTCAACTACATAGTGAGACCCTGTCTCAAAAAATAAATACATAAAAAGAAAAAAGAAATGTCAGGTGTTATACCTGACCTGCTGTTAGGTCTGTATTCTTTGAAAGCCAGCTGAACTTCACACTTACAGCAGCCACCTTGCAAGTGCTCTAGGGCCACATGCGGAGAATGGCTATTGTACTGCTTCTCAGAGTGTGGCCTTCAGACCACCTGCATCTTCTGTTGCAATATGGATTCCTGGGAATGGCAGCATGGTCCCATGGCAGTGTGCTTGCCCAGCATGCATGAGGCCCTGAGTCCAATCCCTAGCACCAAATCGATAAATAAATGAATGAGAAGTAAAAGCAGATGTGCCTACAGAGGAAGAGCAAGAGACATGGAAATGGAAGTGATGAAGCCACCATCGAGGCCTAGCCAAGGAACAGAGGCCCAGCCAGTGTGTGGAGTTGGGGAACAGGCCATTTTCTCAGGCTACGATCCAGTGAGCTCATCTGGGCAAAGCAGAGGGAAGTGAGTGGGGAAGGAAAGGATGCTGCTCCTGGAGATACTGTTGGGGACAGCTAAGACTCAGCTTGGGGAGATTTGGGGGAACTCAGAGAAGTCGGTCAGTGGGGTGAAAAATTGAGCTGGGCCATCAGCTGAGTCCAGGCCACAGAGTAGGGTTTGTGGGCCCAAAGTAGAAGGCAGGTTGGCTTGGGGAATTTCCATGGCCAGAGACCAGAGTCATACTCATATTTGTTATGGCTTGTGTCTAGATGTCCCCCAAAGCCTTGTGCAGTCATAGGTGGGGCTTTGGCAGAGGAGGCTGGATCTAGAGTGTGTGATGCTGGAAATAAAGGTGTGTGATTTCTAAATCGGTCCACTGATTGGTTTGGCACTGTAGACCTAGTAGCCTAGGTAGAGTATAAAAAGGGGCAGAAAGAAGCTGCCGAGGTCCCTTGCTTGCTTGCTTTTGCTGTCTTCTGCCTGCCATGAACTGTTTCTCCTCCACAGTGCCCCTCTGCCGTGCTGCCCTGCCTTGAAGCCAGCTGATTATAGACTCAAATCTTTACAAAAGGTGAGCTAAATAAACCTTTTCCCTTTAACTTCAGGTGTCAGGTATTTTGTCTCAGCAATAAGTGAAGTAACTAAAATAATATTCAAAGCAGCTGTGAGGACAGGTTTTCTAGGAGACTTATCAGTGAACCTGGGGCAAAGGTAGAATAAGGTTGTGGTGGGCCAGTGAACAGCTGTGCTCGCTCTTCCCAAACACTGTGCTCAGTGATACTGGGTTGAGGGGAGTCACTGACATTTCCCCTCCCTCCATCCATTCCTCCCTTGCTGTAGACAGCAAACACTCCCTACGTGTGCAGATGGACTCTGGAAAGGTGAGTGGGTGAATGGATGAAGCCTTCTGTCTCTGAGAGAGAAAGCTGCCTTGCCTTTTGAGTAGCTGTGGAAAGTCACTAAGCTCCGGGCAAGAGATTGTAGCAAGGGAGTCTTTGTTTGGGGTTGACCTGCTGCATTTCTCAGTGTTTTCACTCCATGTGGGGTGGAAAGCTGATATTTACAGAATATGCCCAGTGGTCAACATCCCCATCTCATTTTCCAGCCAGGAGACTCCAGCTGTGTTTGGTATGGGGGACACCGTGTTTGGGGTGCAGTTCGAGAAGTTCCTCCACCGGGCTGCACAGATCAAATTTCTGTGGGACGCTGCTGTTTCTTTCCTAGCCATAGAATAAGGTCACTATCAATCTTTCCTATGGCGTATTCAGTGTGCAAAATGTCTTCCTGTTGTATCTTTTACTAAATAATAATCAGTTTGGTCATGGTCTTCCCCGGAAGAGCTGGTCTGGAGCCCAAGGACTAGGGTGTCCTGCCCAGTGCCGAGTGACCCTGTGCCCAGCTGTGCCCCACCCCTCACAAGGCCTTACCTGTGATTCGTCCCAGCTGCCCGGCATACATTTTCCCAACAAATCCAGCTATGTGGGCTCCTAGGCTCACACCAATCATATAAATGTTGCCGAGGGATGCTCCTTTTGCCTGAAATTTTAGGAAATCCATCGTTATTTATTGTGAGGGGCCAAGGAGTTGACTGTGTGTGGAGAAGTATTGCTAAGCACCTTACAGCTACTGTCTCATTTAAATGTCACAGTGCCCTGTGATACAATACTACTCTTTTGATTATGGGGATGGAAAAAAACCTGAGCCCCAGAGTTGAAGTCGTCCATCCTAGGTGAGGCAGCTGGGAAGAAGACAAGCAGGAGGACTCCACTCAGCCCATTCAGCCCCAAGTTTGTGCCTTGACTTTGAAGCCATGCTGTCTCTCTCCACTCATGCTTCTGCTAGAAGCCAAGCTGACATACCTTTTAAAACATCCTCAATCGGACAGAGGAGTGACAATTTCATTTTTTATTTTTGGGGTGCTGGGCGTTGAGCCCAGGGTGGTACACATGCTAGGCAAGCATTCTACCCCCCAGTTTAGGAGGTGCTACATTCCCATCTCCAGTGCTTTTTTAACTTTTATTTTGAGACAGGGTCTCGCAAAATTGCCCTGGCTGGCCTGCAACTTGCAATCATCCTGCCTCAGCCAACCAAGTCAGTAGGACTACAGGCCTAGGCCACCATGTCTAGCGAAAAATACACGTTGATGAACTCCTTTGTCTTCACCCTGGCCGAGTCAATGAAGTCACCACAGAGAGGGAAGGAAAGAAGAGGGGAATGTTGGAAAGTGTACAACGCTGTGTAACAGATAAAAATGAAGCTTTCTCCTCTGTAAGTCTTTAAAGCATAAATCATCTCACTGGACCACATGTCTCATTCTGACTTTGGAGAATCCGGCTGTTAAACCTTTGGCACTTCTAACAGAAGGACTGGCCACAGGAGCTGGAGGAGGGCAAGGAATATAAACCAGGAAACCCAGACAGTCTCTCCTGTCCATAAGACACCTCTTTAGGAGTCAGAAAAAGAAGCAGCTTTCTCAAGACACTTCGCCATCATCTATGGGAATACGATCATAATAAGTCCATAAATCAATAACATCCATGGTAACAGTGCAGTTCCTTTAAACCAGTGTCCTCTGCAGTGCACAACCTCCCCAACCGTATCTGTGAGCCTTACAGGCAGTCCCTACCCTTCCCTGGGGCTTGCTCAGATTTGCAAAATGTTACAAAATAGTCCTGTCCAGTCACTGAAGATATCTCTAGGCTTTAAGCCTGCAGATAATCAGCCGGCCAGTTTCAATTTGGCCCTGAAGCATCTGAGAAAAAGTCTCTTACCAACATCTGGTCGATAAATTCCCTCAAGATCATGGCTACTTCTCTGGTCTTGCGCGAGGCTTGGTTGTATATTACAGTTGTAGCTCCTCGGTTCCAATCAACCACCACCACGTTCATGTCTTCCACAAGTAGCAAACTCTCTACTAAGTCCCCCAACCAAACTGGAGTGGAGCCCAGAGGCCTGAATCCGTGGATGAGGAAGGTGGTTTTCTTGGTGATGTTTAAGCTCCCAAAAGCTGAGGAGTTGATGGTCTGGGCACAGGTCCAGTTTCTCTTTGTGTAGAGCAACAGCTTCACATCCAGTTCCGTCCCGAGCACTGCATTGTGGAAGCCCAGCCTGGTGAACGTGGCGCATGTTTCATCTGCATCTGGAAACAAAAGTCGGACAACATCACAGTGGTTGTTTCCTTAGCTGGCATCCAGCAAGGGAGCCCTGCCTTCCACTTCCAGGAGATCATCTGCTCCTTGTCACCTGCCAAAGGCTGGCCCTGGGTGAATGAAGCCTCAAAATCACACTTGATTCAGAGCTCCTAAGACATGACCTCTGCTTTTACCAGCACTCTTCCAAATGCTAGGGCCCGAGATAAAGCTCAGTGGCACCACACCTGCCTGGCAAGCACAAGGTCCTGAGTTTGATCCCCAGTACTGGACGGAGGAGTGGGGGGGGGAAGAAACAATTGGATACAAGCATGGCTGTGATGGCTGTGTTCTAATAAAACTTTATTTATTTATTTATTTTGGTTTTTTGAGACAGGGTCTCACTATGTACTTGAGACTGACCTGGAACTCACTATGTAGCCCAGGCTGGTCTCAAACTCACAGCGATCCTCCTGCCTCAGCTGGGATTACAGACGTGAGCTACCATGCCTGGCTAAAACTTTATTTAAAAAAAAATGCTACACAGCTTCCAGATCCAACTGAAAGTCACCTAATGAAGACTTGGCAGGTACACTGTGGTAAGCATGTCACAGCATGGTTTTGAATTCTTCCACTTCTGAGTACTACAGTGTCCCAATCATGTAATATGTTTGGAAACTAATCAGTTTTAATGTTTATCCTCCCTCCTCCTTTCTTTCTTCCTGTCCCTCTCTCTTTTCTTTTCTTTCTTCTCCCGTACCTTTCTTCACTGAGCTACAGCAGCTGAGGAGGAAGTGAGCTGTCATCCCATGAGTAAACCCCAGCTTGAGCTGGGGAGCCTCCTGCAGGACACTGCACAGGGAGGCAAGGTCCTAGGGTTGGCCCGGAAGACGCGTGTGCCCTGGGAAGTATCCACCCTGACTTCCTCCGCAGGGAATTCGGGAACTCTTTGCTGTAGTTCCTATTCTCCAAGCCTCTGTGCTTTCATGCCCAGAAATTGTTCTCCTCCCTTGTGAGCCTGGGAACAGCCTCCATCCCCACATTTCTGTCTTTAGTGACCTGGGTCCTTCCATGGATTCATTTGTGTGAAACATCCAAAGGCCTTGATCCTCAGGACTGAGTGAAGTTCAGACACGAAGAGCACAGGAAGTCCCTGGAGATGGTTAAACATTAAGGAGGCTTGGAAACACCTCACCCTAGGAAAGAGGTGCTTAATTTCGAGCCCCAAATCCCCCCGTTTTTCCTTCTGGCCAGTGCAGTGAGGCTCCTTGAGGTATAAGTAAACATTTCCACCATCTGCCTGCCTCGCTCACTTCCACTTCCTGTAGACTGCATGCTCCCGGAGAACATGGACTGAAACTTGCAGAGCAAGCCCCAGAGCAAATGACTGTAGAATTAATCATCACCCGCGACAGGAGTTGTCACAGGGCAGGGCCGCGCCTCTGGCCTTCACCATCAGTAAGCTGGGCCTTCTTCCTGTGTGTGAGACTGACTAACCAGGCAGGCTGGGGAAACGTATGTCATCTTTCTCTGGCTCCTCTCTGCCAAGAGAGAAAGGCAGTGAGATTAGTTCTCAGTGAGGTCATTCTGGGGAAACCAGAGGTCTCGTTCCCAAGAAGAGGACTATCTGATGTTCACTGAGGCCAGTGAGCAATGTCAGGCCAGTGTACCTGTCATAAGTCATACATATGAGTCCTAAGAGGCTCAGAAAAAAGTTGTGAAATTTAGGCCTCGAGCTATTTTTTTTTTTTTTTTTTTTAGCACAACTACAAGCTTCAGTATCTATGCACGGTTCAACCAACCTCCTAGATTTGCTGAACTTTAGCAGAGTCCTTAAAATTGACAGTTATTGTAAGGCAAAGAAAGGCAAAAAAAATGGATTTTCAGTTTTTGTTTGAAAGAACCGTGATACCAAGGATTGAACCCACACTGAGCTGCATCATTGGGCCTTTTTATTTTTTATTTTGCAACAGGGTCTCATTAAGACACCTAAGTTGCCCGGGCTGGCCTCCAACTTGTGATCCTTCCGCCTCAGCCTCCCAAACTGCTGAGATTACAGATGTGCACCATCACCTCTCTGCTTGCTTGTATATTTTTTAAATACCTTAGCTATGGTACTATGCCCTGAAGAAGTGCACTGTAAGCTTTGAGTAAAAGATGGTTGGTTTCCTTTCCCTCTCTCAGTCCTAGATGTAAGAACTTGATGTGTATTCTTGCTCATGCCCAGAGAACATATGCAGTTCATGCAACAAAAGCCTACTTTAGGTGAGCACAGTGGTTCACACCTGTGACCTCAGCCACTCTGGAGCCTGAGGCAGGAGGATTGCAAGCTCTGGGCTCAGACAACTTAGTGAGACCCTGTCTCAAAATAAAAACTAAGGACAGGGAATGTAGCTCAATAGCAAAACACTTGCCTAGCATGCACAAGGCCCTGGATTCAATCCTCAGCACTGCAAAAATAATAAATAAAATCTTAAAAGGGCTGGAGATACAGGGATGAAGCTTAGCTTTCCCTGGGTTCAACCCCAATCCCACAAAAAAAAAAAAAATATTTGCGGACTGAGGACATAGCTTGGTAGTTGAACATTTGCCTAGCATGTACATGGTCCTGGGATCAATCCCCAGTACCACAGAAAAGAATGAAATAATCCTCTATGTTCTTGGTTTGTTGGTTTGTTTTTGGTACTGGGGATTGAACTCAGGACATTGCACTTGCGAGGCAGATGGCGGCACCACTGAGCTACATCCTCTGTGTATTGATGTATCTATCATTCACTCTGACTGTGAGGGTGGACCTGTCGCACGCCTGCCACAGTGGGCACCCACAGCCCTGGAGGGAGCCAACCTGAGCGAGCCAAGTCGCAGCATGGAATAACAGTTGTTTTTCCTAAATTAAGACCTTGATGTTCAGGTTTAATTTCAGGGTTGGCACTTTGGGATAAATAGATGGGTTTGGGGTTGCAGTTTGGACACTCGGTGTCTAAAGGGTCTCTGTTCAATTACTGTAGCTGTTCTATCTGTTCATTTTCTAGGAGGAAATGTGAGGAATTTAACACATTTGTATCCCCCCTCCTGTACTTTCAAAACAGACACAGACACAAACACATGTTCTTCTCACTGTTGAGTGCAGTGAACTATTCCTCATGATTTGTAGTTTTCATCTATGCAAATCTATTTGTAATTCGATGCATAGGTGTCTTTTCAGTGATTCAGGGACAGGTGCCAGTGGCAAACATTCACCATGTGACACCTGCGGTCTCAGCTAAAGTGCAACAAAGTGACACTTGGCCTTCTTGTTTGTTCCAGCTGTCCTACTTTACAGGAGGGTCCTTTACACAGCCCACAGTCATTTCCTGCCATGTTCCCTGCCCCGTGTCTTTTTTCTTGTTAACGTCCCTGTTTAAAATGGCACTTTGCGCAAAGTGTCAAGGCGCTGTTTCTAAGCATAAGAAGCTGTGATGTGGCTTCCCGAGAAAGCACATTTGTTAGACAAGCTAGGCTCGGGCCTGAGTTCCTGGTCCTAGTCCAGTGTTAATCGATCAAGATGTCTTTGAACCAGAATGCACAGAAGGCTGTGCACGGATTGGTCAGTGTCTCTCCATGATCAGCGTTCAGTCCTCCTGAACTCAGTGGCTGAGGCCACTTAACAGTACATAACGGCAACAGACAGCAAGGATGGGTACATAAAAATCATCTTATGCAGCTGAGCACAGTGACAGCTATTCTGGGAGGTTGAGGCAGGAGGATCACTCACACCTAAGAGCTCACGTCCAGCCTGGTCAACCCAGGAAGACCCCATGTCAAAAGAAACAAAATTTCTGGGCTAATATTCCACCAGGGATGTAGTCTTACTTCTACAGAGTTAGGACTTATTCATTGCTCACAATAAGTCCTGTTTCTGGGCTTCTCACTAGGTTACTGGCTCTTGCTCTCTTTTCAGGGAAGGCTCCAGGCTGACTCTGAAATTCATTCCTGAAATGAATCCCTTGGCCTAAATGGTGCCCTGACTTCGAACAACATTGCTGCCCTTGGGAATTACAAATTCTACTTCCTTCTTACATTGAATTTTACTCTACAGAAATTTTACCCTTATATTTTATTTGCCTTTTTCTTTTTTTGGTACCAGGGATCGAACTTGGGCGCTTGCGCTTGCAAGGCAGGTGGTGGAACCACTGAGCCAAATCCCTGGCCTTTTATTTGCTTTTTTCCCCACCATATGCTGGGAGAATTTTTCCTTATTTTAAATAACTTCTCCCTCGAGAGTAGAAGCACCAGGATAATTAGTCTTTTTGTCTATCCTAACCCATTGTATTCCCAGTGGTGCACTACCTGCTTCCATGCTGACGTTAATAAATACTTCCAGAATAAATATCAACCCATGAATACATTATTCAGCCATTCACCATGATTCACATGAATCCTACAAAGAAAATATAGTTTATAAAATACATAAAATGAGAGACGGGGGGTGTGGTCCAGCAGTTGAGTGCATGTGTAGCATGGCAGACACCCTGAGTTCAATCCCCAGCACCACAAAACTAAATCAAGAAATAAGGCAGGTGTGGTGTCACATGCCTGTAGGCCCAGCGTTCTGGGAGGCTGAAGCAGGAGGATCGCCCAGGCGCCTGGGCAACTTAGGGATTTGGTGAGACCATATCTCAACAACAACAAAAAAATTACACAAATAAATAAATTATAAGAGGGTACATCACACACTAAAATTACATAAAAATATGTGTAGGTCTCGAGCCAGGAAAATACATGTGAATAGTAACAAGTTCTACTTTCCATTTCTTGTGTTCTTTGTTTAAAGTTTCCCACCAGTATTAAACATTTTGAGAAGAAAACAGTGCATTTACCTTAACTTGGGCCTTGTTACAAATTAGTTTAAACTACCTGAGGGCAGCTAGTATGGGGTTTTGTTTGTTTCTGGAGTTCTTTTGGGAGGGTGGCTTTTTTGATTTGGTTTTCTTTTCTTTTTTGGCCAGTACTGTGTCGCCAGCACCTAGCA